CATATTTTCTCTGTATAAAAGAAGGGTTTTTGTAAGCCAAGGTCCTCTCCGATCGATCCCCCGTCCAATTCAAACGGGGACCGATTTTACGACGGCCTGTACGATTATGTGTACTAGACAACTTATATAAATACTTAGATACATTTCTTGGTAATACAGACAACTATACTCATGAGTACAAATGACTGTATCATGTGAAGAATCGAATCTGTGACCATCCGATGTAAAGCGACGTGTTCCTCTAGATTACAGAAGCCGTTAAATTATTATCAATCAATCCCTTCAGATTATCGACTATAGTTTTTATGTTCTCTGAAAGTTTTTAGTGAAAGATTACCTAACTCTATGTTATACGCAACAAGCCACCCACCCCATCTTCGCACAGGTGTACATGTATCTAAATATATATAACTCGAAGGTGACTGACATAGTGATCTATCAACGCACAGCCCAAACCACTGGACGGATCGGGCTGTAATTTGGCATGCAGGTAGATGTTATGACGTAGGCATCCGCTAAGAAAGGATTCTGATTAATTCTACCCCCAAGGGGATAAAATAGGGGATGAAAGTTTGTATGAAACTTCGTCAATTTTAAACCGATCGGGCTGAGACTTTGCTTGCATAAAGCTACTATAACGTAGGCTAAGAAAGGATTTTGATAAATTCCCCCCCTAAAGGGATAAATTAACGCAAGCGAAGCCGCGAGCAATAGCTAGTTATACATATAAACCTTCCTCTTGAGAGCGATAAAAATTAAGAAAAATCTGTTCAAAATCCGTTGCGTAGTTTTAAAGATTTAAGCATTCATAGGGACGGACAGACAACGACCACGACTTTGTTTTATATTATGTAATGAAGAGTAAAAATGCAGTTGATATTACATTTGTAAGTATTACAAAAATAATACGCTACAGTGTAATGGTGTGGCAACTATACCACCGACTAGTACAATAAACTCGTATGCAAAAATTTCCCATCTCGTAATGAAGCCAGCTAACTCGGATCGGTTCATAAAAGCACCGTACCTTTGAGTACCAACTTCAACATTTCATGATATAAAAATTTTCTGTCTATACGTATCTATAAAACAAAGTAGGTTTAGTCACATTACATTTTAGAGCAAAACAGATTTAAAAGATACAGTCAAATTGAGAATGTCCTCCTGTTTTGAAGTTGGTTGATAAAAACACTATATCGAATTCTATATCATCATTATCATTAAATAGTATAAAATAAAGTCGCTGTCGCTGTCTGTCCATCCCTATATATGCTTAAATCTTTAAAACTACGTAACGGATTTTGAAGCGGTGTTTTTAATAGATAGAGTGATTCAAGAGGAAGGTTTATATATATTATACACTAGCATATGCCCGCTGCTTTGCTCGCGTTAATTTATTCTCTTAGGGGTGGAATTTATCAAAATCATTTCTTAGGGGATGCCTACGTCATAGTAGCTTTATGCGTGCAAAGTCTCAGCCCGATCGGTTTAAAATTGACAAAGTTTCATCCCTTTTGGGATAGAATTAATCAAAATCCTTTCTTAGCGGATGCCTACGTCATAACATCTACCTGCATGCCAAATTTCAGCCCGATCGGTCCAGTGGTTTGGGCTGTGCGTTGATAGATCACTACGTCAGTCACCTTTGAGTTATATATATTTAGATATACACCCATGCGAAACCGGGGCGAGTATCTAGTTTGAATATATGTCATATTTATAACGCCATCTATGTAAGTACATTATGTAAGTATAAATTTAGAATTTCGAACTACCAAAGATAAATTCTAACTTTTTTCGTACCAAAGACAATTAGCTATTTACGGTGGCTTTTAAAAACTGAACTGTTAATGAGAGCAGGTGTGTCTATGTTCATATCTAAGATATTGAGCTTTTAAGCTCTCGTAAAAGTTTAATTTATATTGATTTTGTATTGAAACGATATACTTCGTATTGAAAAGTTAAAAAGATATAAATCAGAGGTTCCCAAACACTTTAGTGTCGAAAACCGAAAAATATGCCATATTTTTCGGATTTGGGTAGACCCCCCATTCTTACCTGATATTGATTTATTATACTTTTCTAACTGTAGTATAGTTTAGTGGGTTTTGGGTAGACACCCCATTCTTCCCTGAAATTGATTTATTGTAAATTTCTAATTGTAGAATAGTTTAGTGTTAACATAAAGTAAAAACAACAAGATGGCCGCTGTCGTAGACCTCTTGCAGTTTGTCATAGACCCGTGGGGGTCGATATAGAACTTTGGGAATCACTGATGTAAATTGTATTTTATTAAGGGTTTTTATATATGGTTTGCTATATGCCACGGCTTCTCACGGGTGTACAACTGTACATGTATTATACATATAAACCTTCCTCTTGAATTACTCTATCTATTGCTAAAAACTAATTTAAAATATATAAACGAACAGACAGCGACAGCGACTTTGTTTTATACTATGTAGTGATGAAGACTTTCATTGTAGGTTTTTTATAATAATCTATACATATAAATAAAATTGGAGTGTCTGTTTATAATATTGAAATAACCGTTTTTTACTACATGCATATGAATATAAATACGGTACATATACCAAAATATTTTTTTTTTTACAATTTTTGCCTGCCTGTCTGTTTGTTCCGGCTAATCTCTGAAATGGCTGGACCGATTTTGACGGGACTATTTTTGGCAGGTTGCTGATGTAATAAGAAGTAACTTAGACTGCTTTTATTTTAGAAAAATAAAGTTAAATTCCACGCGGACGAAGTCGTGTGTACAGTAGTTTTTAATAAAAACGAATTCTCATAATTTATATTATGTAAAAATGACTTTCATAGTAGGTTTTTATAAATATTTCAATAAAAACTAACAAGTTCTCAAGATTCAAGATTTATAAGCAATTACTAACCGTTACATTTGATTTTCTGATCTTAGAATAGAATAGAATAGAAAATAATTTATTCAAATAAACTTAATTTAAGCACTTTTGAATAGTCATAAATTTTTTTTTATTTATCGTTCATTCGGAGAGCTGTCTCATCACAAGAAGAACGAGCAATAAACTTGTGTGATGCTCTTTTAAATGATCCTTGTAAGTTTACATTTACAAGTCGAAACGTGTGAATACAAACTACCAACCAGCACTAATTTTTTGGGTCAAATATAAATATACAATAAGATTAAATCAGTCGTAGTGATAAGAGCAGACCAGTCCCTACAAGCAGCACTCGTTCACGAGTATAACGGATGAGCCAGCCATCACTGCGTAGGCCATATTTTAGGGAGCCCAATGATCTTCAGTGGACGTGGCGAAATCGCCCCAATTTTCTTTTATATTATTAGAAAAAAGCCCGTCGCTAACGGTGTTTCAGTGATACAGCACTATCATTTAATTAAGTGACTAATAGATTGATAGCGGTGCGTCTGACGGCCGGTTTAATTGAGTTTTGTTTGAGTTTGAGTTTGCTGCCGCTCGCGGGGCGGATCGCTCCACTACAGTTTTTAGTTCAGGAAGGTTGCTGTAATGATTACTGGCTGGAATTAGGTTTTGATGAAGTATTTATAATTAATAATAATAATTAAATGAAACCATTAATAATTCGACATGACCATTCAAAAGGCTGCCATTTTGAATAACTGTCGAACTGTCCGAAAATTTCTGGAAATCAATGAAAAGGATATAAAAGCAGTCACACAATAAGTACACACACTCTCACACACACACACACACACATACACACTGCACTTACTTAGTTTTGACCCGTAATTGTGGAAATAAAACAACAAAATTGTGGAAAAAAAATACCAGCAAAAGTTGAGAAAATGCAATAAATAATAATAATCTTATATATAAAATTCTCGTGTCACAGTTTTCGTTCCCATACGCCTCCGAATAGAATAGAATAGAAATCATTTATTCAAATAAACTTACATTGAAGCACTTTTGAATAGTCATTACATTTGTTTTAATCTACCGCTCGTTCGGAAAGCTGTCTCATCACAAGAATGATCAAGAAACTTGCGTGTTGCCCTTTTAAATAATTTTATTATTACTTTACATTTTTAAGTTTAAGTGTGTGAATACAAACCACCAATTAGCACTAATTCAATTAAATACTCAAAAAGAAAAAATTTTGAATACATAACCAACTGGTTATACAATTAATAAGAGGAAATCAGTCATCGTGATTAGAGCAGACCAGTCCCTACAAGCAGCACCCGTTCACGAGTATGACGGATGAGCCAGCCATCACTGCGCTCGACCATATTTTAGGGAGCCCAATGACCCGGCCCACCACGCCACCACAAGTCTGGACTTTTAGTGAGCATGGCTACTCAAAACACTAGACTACGTCAAAGCTACTTACAATTGCCATCTGATAGTTATAGTATTCACATTTTACATAAGAATGCATGCGGCAATCAATACAAAAACCGCTACGCTTTCATATTTCTAAAATCAATCAATTAAATCAAGAAAGCAATGAGAAAATAAAATTATAACGTTGTATGCTAATAAACTAATTATTTACTTGATATGTTGTCATCTATGAATTTGTCTATCCTGTAATAGGCTTTCTTACATAAAAATTGTTTAATATAAGATTTGAATTGCCTCTCTGTCAGATTTAATGCAGATTCTGGCAGTTTATTATCCGAAACGGCTTGACCGATTCTCATGAAATTTTGTGAGCGTATTGAGTAGGTCTGAGAATCGGCCAACATCTATTTTTCATCCCCCTAAATGTTAGGGGTAGTCCACCCCTAATTTTTTATTTTTTATTTTAAAGCAAAACAACGTTTGCCGGGACAGCTAGTATATATATATATATATAAACCATCCTCTTAAATCATTCTATCTATTAAAATAAACCGCTTCAAAATCCGTAGTTTTAAAGATTTCAGCATATATAGAGACGGACAGACAGCGACAGCGACTTTGTTTTATACTACGTAATGATGATATGTAATCTAAATAAAGCTAAAATTTTGTCAACAGGATATCCATCTCCCATGAACCAAACGCCACATTCGCCGAGCTGGTGATAGCCAATGTGAAAGCCGAAGACGAGGGTGTGTTCCGCTGCGAGATAACGTACCTCCACGTCGGAGAGGACTGCAACACTGTTCAAGTCACCGACTTCCATACCTACAGTAAGTGGATTCATTTATTTTACTTAGTTTTAAGCAGATTAAATTATTTTACATGTTACTGATTATATTGAATTATCCTATGTCAATTTTTTTTTATACTACGATAGTGGCAGACTAGCATACGGCACGGCATCTGATGGTAAATGGTTACCGTAGCCTATGGACGCCTGAGATACCAGGAGTGTCACGTGCGCGTTGCCGACTCTTAAGAAACCTTAATAAACCCTTTTTGAAAATTATTTTCACTAATAAGATTACGGCTACTATATTTTTAATACCCATAAGTGTTAAGGGTGGACAACCCCTTTTTTTTTATCGTGTGGAAAAATCTTGAACAAGACCATCACCCCGCCGGAGGGATGGCGAGGTGGTGTGTGGGACTCGTACCCACTAAAAAACCACGCGGTATACCTCGAGGTGCCGCGGGCCGAAGTCCGGGGTTCGCACTTGGCACTCAACCCAGACTTCGGCGGCTTGGCCTGTCCTGTAGATCTTGTAGGACAGGCCCCCTCTCTCTGGTTAGGGTGCTATGGCTTGCACCCTACCTTCTCGTGGAGGCGCGTGGGTACACGCGCGCACCTCCAGGGGCCTGGTTGTGGGGTGGTGCCTAAGGGTGGACAACCCCTAACATTTTTATTTTTACATTTTGGCCATTTTTTTATTTCTTTCTATTGTGGCATTAAAAAATACATAACCCCACATTTTCACCCTTTCTTTTGTACTTTTAAATTACAGTCTATATAATTCACAGATCGTGTAATTTACATAAACGAACAATTTAAAAAAACCGCTAACTATTTGGGTTCATCCATTAGAAATTAATGTGAAATCTTTCTTCTTTTTATTATAACAATAGAATAGAAAATCATTTATTCAAATAAACTCAATTTAAGCACTTTTGAATAGTCAACAATTATTTTTTTTAAATCTACCGCTCATTCAGAAAGCTGTCTCATCACAAGAAGAATAAGCAAGAAACTTGTGTGTTGCTCTTTTAAACAATTTTTGTAAGTTCACATTTTATTATTCACATAATATTATTATATTTGAAATCAATTAAAATCCGCATTTATTAAATTACTCTATTATAACATCAATCTTAATTCTTTATCCATCCGATTAAAACAGACTGGTCGCTTTAAGAAAATTTACATATAAATGTAAAATTTTGTTGTAATACTTCGACCGCTCGGGGGTGAATTGGGGTAGCGGCGGGGTAAAATACCTCAAGGCTTATTTCCTTTTAAATCTCTGAATTGATATATTAACATCTTTGTTTTAAGGCTTGAAATATTCTGGAATTCGACGACCTCGGTAGTCTAGCGGTGTAGCACACCACTTTACGTCCGATGGTTGCGGGTTCGATTCCTCGCACGGCACAAACATTTGTATTTATGAGTGTGATTGTTTGTATCGGTCTGGGTGTTTTCTGAGTGATCTGGGTTTGTTGTGACAATTCACACAGCGCCATCTAGACCCAAGTCAAGCTAGCTAAAGCTGGTGTTATGGGTACTGAATAACTGATACAAATACACAGATATTTTTTTTTTGTAAATACATACATAATATACATAGAAAACACCAAGACCGATACAACCACTTCGAAATACAAATATTTGCACCGTGCCAGGAATCGAACCCGCGATCATAAGATGTATAAATAAATAAATAATTTCAGGACAATTCACACAGCGCCAACTAGACCCAAATTAAGCTACTTAAAGCTTGTGTTATGAGTACTAGACAACTGGTACAAATACATAGATATGTTTTTTTTTCGTAAATACATACATATTATACATAGAAAATACCCAGACCGATACAAACAAAAATACTCATGAATACAAATGTTTGTGCCGTGCGAGGAATCGAACCCGCGACCATCGGAAGTAAGGCGGTATGCTAGACCGCTAGACCACCGAGGCGTACGTATGTTTTAATATATGTTATTTGTATCTGTCTAAATTTGTTCGACCATTAAGAACACTTTCAGTGAGATGGCAGTATTTCAAAACGTCGCAAAGTCGTATTTTAATTCATCCAACGGAATCCCACAGCGGTGTTACTCTTGAAAGCAATAACCAATATTTCTAAAGAACTTTTAACTCTCCTTTATAGGTCACGACTCGGTTACGATTCGATGTTGATTATAAAATGATCTGGGACAGTCTGATATATTGAGTGGGACATGTATTTATTTATTTTTATTTTATTTTATTTATTCATTTATTTCAGGCAACTAGGCCCATATTATAAATACCTTATAGATTAACATACATATAATATAATATTTAAGAACTAATACAATGATATTGTCTGTGTGATCACGGCACTGAAGACGGCAATCTGCCACGGTAGCGCCGATACACCACACCTTTCGGCCAGTAGTCCTCTTTCATGAAGGTGGGCAGCAAGTCGGTGGGGACCAGGGCCACAAACGCTTTGAAATTGTCCCATATGTTTTATTTTGTTACATTACGTACCTTTTACCATTGCTCGCCATCGACAGGGAATTCATCCCAGCACCCTGGAACCTAAGTGGTCTCGGACAGTGCGGTTTCAGAGGAGCTCCCGCGTACACTTAGATTGTGGAATTAACTACATGCCGAGGTTTTCTACGAGACTACAACATGGGGTTTTTATGAAGGGCATGTTAAGGTTTCTTAAGGGTCGGCAACGCGCACGTGACACCCCTGGTGTTTCAGGCGTCCATAGGCTACGGTAACCGTTTACCATCGGATGGGCCGTATGCTTGTTTGCCACCTATGTGGTATATAAAAAAAATGTTGATTTAGTATAAGTATATATCTATAAAGAAATAAAGCCATGATATAGACATGTCTGTTAGTAATTTAAAATTAACAAATTTTCACTAAATGTATGTGAAAGTATATTATTACTCTGTGAATGGTTATAAGGGCAGAGGAATGCCGAATGAGATGGATGGACTGTGTGAAAGATGATATGGCAAGAAATGGAATAACAAGATGAATCCAAACAGGTATGAATTGAAGGGAAACATATATTACAAGATACTTACATAAAAAAGTGACTTTTTCCGTAGCTTGTTCTTGCTAATCTCTGAAACCGCTAGACCAATTTTGACGGAACTTTGCAGTGCTAATGTTATATTAGAAACCTCAAGACTTGTGCATTCCGTTTAGTAGCTGTCCGTGTAATGTTTTTTTTCCGAGTCACTCTTTATAGGACGCCATCTTGTGCCACACTACTCTCGAAAACACGGAAGTGAACTATGCTAATAGTACCTATTACTATTAAAGTGAATTACGCTATTTTTATTTTAAAAAATTTATCTCTTTCTTTTTTCTCTATTTTACCTGGCCATTAATATTGCCAGAACGGTTTATTCTGGATCGTCTGACCAGCGTTTTTTTTAATTTCCTATTAATAACAAACATCCATGTGAGGCGAGATCTGTCGCGCCTTCTAGTAAATTTAAAGATATTTTATTTATTTTATAAATTAATAAATAACCTTGGACAATTAATACAGCGCCATCTAGTCCCATGGTAAGCAGAGCTTGTGTTATGTGTACTAGACAAATGGTATAAATGCTTGAATTTTTGTTTTGTTAATACCTACATATTATACTGTCAGGTTCATGATGGTATTCTATAGGATTTACATTATATTAACAAGATAACTTTATAAATAAAACAATACTTACAGTTGATAATCACTTTTCTTATATTTTCAACAGTATTTTACAAAATCTTTTCCACACGTCCGTTCGTAACGCTTGCTGCAATCTTAATGATTTCATCGCCATTGTAGAATAGTAAACTGGGAGGTAGCTCCCAGTTTTTAAATAGTCAATACACTTACTTTTACTTTAACAATGCAATTAGATAAAATGGTTATTAAATATGATAAAGAAGCGTACTACCCTCAGGCAATTAAAATAGAACAAATATAGTAATCATGAATAACTGTTGATGACAATACATAGTATACACCCAGATCGATACAAAGAATCATACTCATAAATAAAAATATTTACATTGTGCGAGGAATCAAACCCACGACCATTGGAAGTAAAGCGATGTGCTAAATAACTAGACCATCGAGGCTGTCAAAAATATAAAGTTATTTTCCAAACAACGTTAAAATCGTATCATCTAAAAGACATTGTGGCTAAACGCAACGGTATCAGAAACTTTTAGTCAAAGAGCAGTTGGATTAAAGCTCTTTTTCACAGCGAAAATATGTCCCTCGCAGATTATCGGCAAAGGAAATGTCCTCTTAGTGCCTTCTTTTTTAATTTCCCAAACTCCGCCAAGTGGTAATTTGATTAAGTATTTTTCCGCAGCTCCCTTTGATCTGAGGAAGGTCGCAGACCGTTTGTACGGGACATCAGTTTCGCCTTGAACTGTAAATGGAAAGGAAATATATTTTAGGATTCGTAGAAAAACACTCGTCTAATGTTAATGAGATTTTATAGCGAATAAATACATAATGAGACGAAGATGCGTAGCGTAACCTTTGAGTGCGTTTATTTGACTGGAAATTATTCAGTAAGTTTGATTGAATACCATTCTCGAAGGACTATTTGGAAACAGACTGAACTAATTGATAATGAGGCATGATAGTTCTCCAAATGGCAAGAAATGAGTACGAATAGGTGGCACGAGTATCACATGATAATGTGATGTTTGATGATATTCATCTATATATAAATAATAGTAATATTAATCTCAGGACAATTCACACAGCGCCATCTAGACCCAAGTTAAAGCTAAAGCTTGTGTTACGGGTACTAGATAACTGATACAAATACATATATTTTTTGTTTCGTAAATACATATTATACACAGAAAACACCCAGACCGATACAAACAATCATACTCATATATACAAATGTTTGTGCCGTGCGAGGAATCGAACCCGCGACCATCGGACGTAAAGTGGTGTGCTACACCGCTAGACCACCGAGGTCGTCAAAAATGGACTGAACTAATAGGTAATGAGGCATGATAGTC